AGAGGCCGGTAGTGTAGGCTAGGTCTAGCGGGTACCAGTCTGAGTCTAGGGCCTGTAGGGGCAATATCAGAGTCTGCAATGATGTTTCCCTCCAAAAGAGGAGGAGGTACCGGTTGCTTGGGAAGGCCAGCGGCCTGGAAGTCACCGCCCAAGAGGCAAAGCAGGCCGCTATATCTTCAGGCCGGGCGGAAGACCCGGCCTCTGTTTCGGTGTGCAAGTTTGGCGACACACTGGTGGAGCGCTGGCTGGAGCAGAGCTAAGCTGGACCAGCGCTGCTGGCGAGGAAGGAGAAGGACATGAGGGAGGAAGAAGGAGGAAGGAGAAGGACATGAGGGAGGAAGGAGGAAGGAGGAAGGAAGGGGGAGGAGCGCCAGGGGTACTTACCTGGCTATGGTGACAACCATCTTCATCACCTTGGTGGGCGCTGCAGCAAGGAGTCCCCAGCCAGGGAGAGCCACACCAAGAAGCTTCAGGGCAGGGTTGGGCATGGCGGCCTGAGTCCAAGCAGCCACAGCTGCTTTGTGTTGTGCTTTGGGCATCGGAGCAAGGCCTAGTAGTCCGCCATAGCCTCGGCCTATGAGAGTGAAGTGTGGGAGAGGCCGCCATGGCTATGGTGGACCTTGAGTGATACCTGCAGTAGAAGAGGGACTCGGACATTGATTCAGGACCATTCATTCAACATTGTATTATTATTTCTTGTATGAATAAGAGGAGCGGGAGATAAGGAGGAGGAGATTGTTGGGCGAAGAAGAAGAGCCTTGTCATTTTCTTTGCTGGTGTACATCTTCTTCTTCTTCTTTCTTACTTCTTCTTCTTCTTCTACTCCTCTCTCTCCTCTCAAGTTCATTCATTTCTTTCTGCAATTGGATGGCATTGTACTTTCCAGTGGATGTGTATCTCGAAATTAACCAGGGTCACAACATTGGTATCAGAGCGGATTCTACTTGCTGGTGAGAGTTGACTTTGCTACCCTTACCCTAACCTAAGTGGTTGAGGGCAACACTTAGGGTTAGGGTTCATTGGTTGAGGGAATTGGGGCAGCGTGACTGAGGGAAGCTGCCCCCACCTGGTTAGGTCATGTGGGGTCAACATAGAACCTAACCAGGTTGCTTGAGAGTGAGATTAGGGAGGCGAGACATTTTGAGGAGACTTCATGCGGCGATTTGAGAGAGGCGACAATGAGAGGCACTCACACCTGGAATCTGATTCAAGGGAGACACTTGGCAACTTAAGGGTTGCCCTCAAGTAGGCGAGCTTGAGGGCCACCAGCCATTCTGCATGAACGGACTGCAAATTGCTACTTTGATCTTCAGCATCGACGGGGGATCCGGCGTTGCACTTGGGTGTTGGAGTCAGACCCTCCTAGGAGATAGGACACTAGTGTAGGGGTAGCGTTAGAGGGGTCAGGAGGAGTCAGACCCTCCTAGGAGATAGGACACTAGTGTAGGGGTAGCGTTAGAGGGGTCAGGAGGACCACATGAGAAGGGGGGTGAGTTCTCTTCATCTCGAAGCTCAAGGCCACTCAGGTAAGTGCCGTGCACCTACGGGATGCCCATGTATGTGTGTATGGTATTGATTGACCTGCTAGGGTACTCTGGGTTTCTTTTCCTACTCCTCTGTGGTCTTGATTGTGTGACTGAATGCATGTGATCTACCTACTCACCTGATGGATGGAAAATGAAGTGTCTTAACATACATGCCGAGTCTTTCTACAATGCTTTGTCTTTTCATCACTGAACGGTTGTAGTCTGTCGGTTCTGCCATAAGTTGAAATTTCATTTTTCAGTGCAGTAGAGACTGAACTAAGTTCAGGTGGAACTCCTCTTGGTTGGGACCTGGTTGAGACCTACGTGGGACCCTTGGGACCAAGCGGGACCCTTGGGACCCAGCGGGACCGGGCCCAAACAAGGAGAGCCTCTAGACCCAAATCGGTTAGGCATTGACCTCGTCTTCTTGGCTGGGATACGAGTTCATTCTTCTTGGATTAGGACACCCACTGCCGAGGGGAGCTTGGCTGCAACGTTTCGCATGTATTCTGATTGCACTGTCCGTGGCTTGACTCGCACCCTGCACACCACTCAATTCTCCATTGTTGCATTTAGTTACTCGTTGTCTGATTTGCTGTACGGTCATGGAGCTGGTCAGACTGGACTCAAGAGGACCTCGTATGCAGTCTGATCACACTGGGTCGCTGGATCAGACCTCTCATTGAGATTGTTTGTTTCTTTTGCTGCTCTCTACTTCCAAATGAAATGCCGCTCCGGCTAGGAGTTCTACCTTCTCTTCTCTGAGCTTTTCAGTCTGTTTTTCTGAGTTCATTTCCGATGCCCGTGGAGACTCGCAATCTAAAAGAAGAGAGAGAGAGGAGGGAGAGAGAACAGGGAGAGAGGGAAAGTGACCGTCTGAAGTGGGCAAGGACTGGGAAAAGGAGTGCTCATCCAAGCGTGAAGGGGAGTGAACCTCTTGAGAGTCTAATTGATTCTTTTGCTGATTGGCGACTCTCTGACCCACCTGCCCATACTGACAGTCCGAAAATGGCTCAGCTAACGTAAGTGCAATGGCAAGCCTTGTTAGATGCATCCAATGATGCGGAAAAACCATATCTGCAAGCACTTTTAGACAATGCAATCAAAAGGGAAGAAGAGTCAGAGAGGGAGAGGAAGGAGGCGTTGTTGGAGGCTCAAGAGGCCATCTTGCAAACTGTTCCCTCACTGACTAAAGAACAATGTGGGGAGCAGTTGCAGGCCATACTTACCGCTATCGTACAAGTCCGGAGTCTTGAGGATCACACCAGCCTGATCGCTGAAGTCTTCGATAAATTGAAGAAGCTCCAGGAAGATCTGGCTGATATGACCAGCAAGTACCACGACTTGGCGGTTGAGATTGCTAAGCTGCGGCAGGCCCAAGTAACCAACCCTCTTCCCTTACCCCCTGATTCCGGCGCTGCAATTACAACTAATCTTGCCCCTCTCACCGTATCTTCTTCTACCTCCTCTTCGAGTGTGATGGCAACCCCCTCGGGACCTACGGCAAGTGCAGATTCCGCTGTTGTTGTGATCAACAATGAGGCAGGGAATTCTGCAACTGCTGCAGCCCCAAGATCGGAATCAGTTGTTGCTGGTCCCAGCCACGTTGGTCCCTATGTGGACCGGAAGGCGGTCCAAATGTCGTCTAAGTACGACAGCAAGGAAAACATCGAGTCCTGGATCGGCTCCATGAGGGCCTACTTAGAGATTTATGGAATCAACCTGAGAACCAGGCGGTGATCATGGGAATGAATGTCGAACCAGTCGTACGGGGCTTCCTAGAAGTCCAAGCGACGCGGGCTGGGTTCCAAAAGACTGCACTAACTAAATGGCTTAGAACCGCCCCGATTGCCTCCCTCGAGGATCTCCTTATCTCACAATATCAGGATCCACATGCTGCGGCTAGAGCAAGAATTCAACTTGACAAAGTCAAGCGCAGCAAGTGGACAGGCTCCATGAAAAGCCTGCAAACCTATCTTAGCAAGATGTTCGCTACACCTGGTTTGGAATTGTCTGCTCAATCTTGCTTAGATGTGGTTAAGGGCGCGGTTCCAACTAACTTCACCAATCGCCTGGGCAGGGACTACATTGCATACACTGACTGGCTCACCTTAATGAAGGACATAGTCAGTTTGGAGGCCGTAGACCTCGTAAGCACGGCAGGCAGCAAAAAGCCCATGGGCGACAGACGATTCCAGTGCAGCAGCTGTTTTGTTGTGCATGACCTGCTGGAGGCCGAAGAAGAAGCCGATGCAGTTGACCCCACTCTTGGTGACGACCAAGAACAGGACTCCGATATAGCTTGTTCTTCAGCCCATGAGTCCGATGCAAATAAAGAAGAAGAAAATTTTTCTGCCTTTAAAAAGACAGCCAATACTGAGGGACCGAATCGGAGTGCCGGGAGAAGTTATGTCCAACTTCCCAAAGGAGTCAAGATCCCGCCTAAACCGGAGGATGCAACTACCAAACCTTGGGTTGACCTCCAGATCACTGAGAATGACTGGCGGGGCAGACTCAAGAAAGGGGTTTGCCTACATTGCCAAAAACCAAATCATAAGGTTCAAGACTGTTATAGGCTGCAGGAAAACCAGAATCGGGCGTAGAGTCAGATTCAGCAAACTCTATAGCAGGGGAGTCCGGTTCTGTTGAAAATCAACAGCCCTCCCTTGAAGCCCAACCATCAGTTGAAGACAAGGCTGAGGTAAGTAATGTTTTGTATGTCGAGCCTTGGGAGGAGTCTGAAATGGTTGACTTCCACTACCACTTGGAGCATTGGGCTGAGATGAAACAACAGCGTGCCCAAGGGACAGTGAAGTTGATCTTCTTTTAACTTCTCATAAACCACCGCTATCTCCGTGTGTTGGTTGACTGTGGTGCTACAACTAACTTCATGTCACCACATGGGATACGCAAGGTGGGCTTGGGGATGAAGCAAGTGGCCCTGCAGAACCCTTGTCGGACCCAAGTTGGCAACAAAGAAGTTGTCTCTTCAACACATGCAGTCAAAGGTGTGCGCACTACCTTTGACAAAGACAAGACCATCACCCACGCACTGAACTTCTTTGTCCTTGACAAGTGCCCCTTCGATGTTGTCCTTGGCTTGGGCTGGCTGCAATCCCAATACGAATGGACCAAGTGGAAGGAGTCACTCTTCATGGTCAAAGATGCTCAGGGGAACGAACTTTTTGTCCTCTTGGATGAGAAGCACGAATCCCCAGTGACTTTTCTAAATGCATTGAAGTTCTACAAGAAGTGGCGCAAGCACAAAGAGGACGAATAGTTGTATGTTGCCTTTGTTCGTCCTGCTCATGTGCCTTCTACTTTTGCGGCTAATACCACTACTACTTTGATTGATGATCCTACTTCTGGTACTTCTACTACTAGCACCTCTACCTCTCTACCCTCTAATAGTCCAAATGATCCTACTTCATATTCGGTCGTCTCTATACGCGACTTGCGACCGGATCTTGGTGATCCCTTCGCTCATTCCCCACCCCCACCTGTCCCATCAGACATCCAAACCCTCCTCGATCGGTTTCCAGAAGTCTTGGCCGAGCCACATGGAATCCCCATGCGACCGGTCCGACACACCATCGAGTTGGTCGAGGGTGCTGTTCCTCCAAAGGGTTGCGTGTGCCGTATGGGACCCGGCGAGTTGGAGGAACTCCGGCGACAGATCGATGAGATGATTGACAAAGGGTGGATCAAACCTAGTGAATCTGAATTTGGTGCTCCTGTCTTGTTTGTGCCAAAGAAGGGAGGCAAACTCCGCATGTGTATTGATTACCGCGGTCTAAACCGCATCACAATAAAGAATGCTTATCCATTGCCTCGTATAGATGACTTGCTTGATGTTGCAAGCGGGTGCAAGGTCTTCTCCAAGATTGATCTCAAGTCTGGCTACCACCAGATTGAAGTAGATCCTGCGGACCAGCACAAGACTGCGTTCAAAACACGCGACGGGATTTATCAGTTCACCGTAATGCCCGTCGGTCTTACGAATSCACCCGCCACTTTCCAAAGCCTCATGGACAAGGTCCTCCGCGAACAGATTGGCCGGTTTGTGGTAGTATACCTGGATGATATTCTGATCTTCAGCAAGTTCATGGAGGAACATCTCAAGCATCTTGAGGAGGTGCTCGCTATCCTCAAGAAGTCACAACTTCATCTCAACTTGGAGAAATCTGAGTTTGGGAAGGACAACCTCATCTATCTTGGGCATTAGTTGTCTGCTGCAGGCCTAGAGGCCTGAGGCAACCAAGATTGAGGTCATACGCGATTGGCCTCAGCCTGCGAACATTCGCGAATTGCGTTCTTTCCTTGGTCTCGCGTCCTTCTATCGGAAGTTTGTGCCCCGCTTCTCTATCATTGCTCGTCCATTGCCGCCACTAACCAGTAAAAATGTGCCTTATTCCTGGGATGCCGCGTGTACGGAAGCCTTTCGAGCTCTCAAGGAAGCCTTGGTAAGTTACCCGGTACTCCGCATTGCAGATCCCAAACTGACATTCGTAGTTACTACAGATGCAAGTCAGTATGGAATCGGTGCAGTGCTGCAACAAGATGAYGGCGATGGCCTGCGGCCACTCGAGTACTACAGCAAACGAATGCCCAGCGTAAAGGTAGCCACTTCCACCTACATGCGCGAGCTCTATGCTTTGCGTATGGCATTGGATCACAGGAAACATTATCTTTTGGGACGCCACTTCAAAGTCTTCTCAGATCATGAGACCTTGAAGTGGATCAAACAGTGAACTACCCTGTTCCCTACCTTGCTTCGCTGGTTTCATGAGATTGACATCTTCGATTTTGAATTAAGACACAAAAAGGGTTGTTATAATCGAGTTGCTAACGCATTGTCTCGCCACCCTAAGTACATGACTTGCCTTGTGAAATCCTACGACCTCCGGAAGAAACTGAAAGAGGAACTCGTAGAGCAGACAGCCAAGGATCAGGAACTTAGTTCCATCCTTGAGCAGCTGTGGGCTGATCCTAGTAGTCAGCCTGATTTCCACGAGTATGGAGGGATGATTTTTCATCGCTACGGGAACCATGACCGTTTGTGTGTACCCAACCATGAGCCTCTCCGCACACACTTTCCGGACTTGGCTCATGGTCGGAGCGGGCACTTCGTCATGGCAAAGACGTACGCTAATTTGCTGAGACAGTTTGATTGGCCTGGCATGAAAAGGACTGCTGAGAAATTTGTGGTTGAATGTCAAGTCTGTCAACGGATCAAACCATGCAGACAAAAGCCCATGGGGCTACTCACACCCCTACCCATTCCTCATGGTCCCGAGGAGTCTGTCTCCATCGATTTCACTGACATGGGTAAGAAGACAAAGATCATGGCTGATTTATATGCAAGTTAGAGGTACGAGCTCAGACACAAAAGTTAGAGGAGAAGAGAGAGATGCCTGTGTGTGGGGAGGAGGGGGGCTCTACCCCACCCTCTCGACACCCCTCCCCCCCCTGCATGCTCAGAGGCGTGTCGATGTCCGAGAGCCCACCGTTCCCATTTAGCACTGCAATTTATAGCGCATATTCTGACAGATAAGTTACAGAATGCCGCCAAAAAAAGATATCTGTTTTTATGCCGTTAGGACTTCGGCAGTTTTCATTCGTGATCTTCGCAGTCTAAGTCGTCGAAACATTTCAGAAAGAGGAGGAACATGTTGCACATGCAGTGTCCGAGATTATTGTGCCAAACGTGTGGGTATATTCTGATAATACCATTTGTTTTTTGGACAGAGCGATATGCTCGTGTGTGGGCGAGGGCAGCCTCTGCCCCCCCTTGCCCCCACACTTATATTCCTTCTCATTTCCCTCAGACGGTGAGGCGTTATCTGGTGAGGAGTTGAGCGAGGCACCAAGTGTCTGTTCCGTCATCCGGGGAGTAGCCGAGGGAGGTGTGTGATATGGCGGTGTGTGATATACTCGAAGCTTGGCTGCATGTACGAAAGTGTCAAACAAACAGGCGGTGAAGCGAAGCATGATACGGCTTCATGAACAGTCAATTACATAAACCTTTTGCTGCAGCTACTTCTCCATCTGAGCAACAGCACAACGAACCAGCACCGCGCTTGGCTTTTCATGCAGACGTATCATGCTTCGCTTCACCGCCTGTTCGTTTGACACTTTCGTTTCTGCTTTTTCTCGGATGTTCCAAGCAAAATACAGCAATGAATTCATTATCCCATCCCCTGTGAATGATGGTTCTTTAAGAGTTTGCAGTGCCAATTTCTGTAACTGCTGTCAGATACATTGAAGAACGTGCTACAGAGAGTACGTCGTGAGTAAGGGACACGATGGTCAAGTGTTGAAGCTCAGTCCTGAGTGCGTAGAGACCAAGGACAAGCACGAACGAGTTTCAAAATTCGATTACGTCGGTTGTCCTTATGTAGACACACCCCTGCCCCACCCATGCTAGCTTTGCTGAGGCGTTGGGCATCTAGTAGAGCGAGGCCCCTGCCCTCAACAGGTGAGTAGTCGAGCGAGGCCAACAGTGCACAGAAGAAAAAAAATGATGGCAGATTTATATGTTAAGTCCGAGGTATGAGCTCAGATGGCGAAGTTATAGAAGAGAGAGAGATGCTCGTGGGGGGCCGCGGGGCCCTCCCAACACCCCCCCCCCCCCCCCCCCCCCCCCCCCCCCCCCCCCCCCTGCGTACTCACAGTCCTGTCAATGTCCGAGCCCACCGTTCCCATTTAGCACTGCAATTTATAGCGCATACTCTTAGAATATGAAATCAGTGACAGAACGCCCAGAACCATATCTGCCAGTCCACACTGGAGAGAGCAAGAAGTCCGTGCCCCCCAATGTGGACTTCCGATGCATCTGCCCTGAGTTAGCATAGCCACGATCTAATCTGCTATTGACTATAGCAATCTGCGTGCAAGGAATAGCCGCTGGTGACAAGTGACAGGCTCACATCGTGATTCAGCGCAGTATGTGCGTCGGAGCGTTGAGCCACGACTGACAGTACAATGTACACACACGAAACCAACGAGCCTAGCTCAGTTGGTACACCCACAAACTTATGAAACACAGACTCAAATTCCAATCTTGATACAATCAGATGCCTAGAATAACATAATGTTGCATTACCTGGAGCTGGTCAGCTTCAATGATGATATCTCAAGAGGCCATCACCCTCTTAAAAAGAGATAAAATGGGGATAAAACAGGGGGGGGGAAAGAAAAACAATGTACACACGAAACAACATAAGTGTCAAAACAACATAGAGAGCCGCAGGGAAGTGCGTAACACAAATGGTTAACAGGTACCCTCACTTTTCACCCCTAGCAACACAGAAGTATCAGCGGTCTCATGTACATGATGGCATGCAGGGTGAAGGCGCTCATGATAGGTCACGTGCCAATGAGATCCTCATATTCTCATCCACAGTAGCATGTGCGGTCGGGAGCTTTGCTACAGCCCAGCGAGAAGCAAACAGGAGAAAGAGGAAAGGTAAAAACAAAACTACGTACACTGTCAAACGAACGTCTGTCCAAAGACCGGGACAGGTGACATGGCAGGCATTTGGAACTCTAGGCTGATAATCAGTCGAAGGAGGCAGAAAGATGAGTCAAGAGAACAAACAGCAAGTAAGTATACGCACAAAACCAAAACCTATGAAATATGAAATGCTCCGTGTAAACCAGTTATGGGACCAGCAGAAAAATGACTGGAAAACGGCCTCCCAGATGCAGGGCACCCTTCGTTACTGCCACCATGTAGACAGACACATGGACACAATCATTGAAGCAATCCCTCTCTCATGGTACAGGATTCTCAAATGGGGGCCTACGCTGATGGAAGGGGATTGGGTTGGCTTCCCGAATGATTTAAACAGAATAGGGAGACTCCACATGATAAGGGCATCAGACGTGCTGGTAGAATATTACACCATATGCCCAAGGAATGAGCTGAGGGGATCCCGCAACCCATTTGAGTGCCGAGACAAAACGGAAGTCTTTAGAGTACGCATGCTTGAGGAGGAAGAAGGCCCTTTCGTATTCCAGTCTGGAACACCTATTCAGGAACTACCTCTGGACCCGCAGGAATGGAAATGGAGGTCCACAGGGAGGGTGGGTCCCGCGTCAGGCAGCACAACTCATCTCCGTGGCCTGACAGTCAAGGCCACATACAGAATGCTCCGGCCCGGACGACCGCTGCGAGACCAGATAAATGACAGATGGGCCCGACACCTCAATGTGGATCAGTCCTCCCTCGTTACACAGATTAGATGGTTTAGCGACAGCAAGGTCAGACCAGCTAAGATCACCTCATTGCAATGGCAGATTGCTCATCGCTGCCTCCCACTAACGCCTGGCTGGTTGACCACACGGGTCTGGATTAGAAAGGAATTGTGCTACCTTGGTGCCAGAGGTGCCTAAACGCCTTCCCTCCGCGAAAGTGGAACAACACCATCGAACATATCTTCATGCAGTGCCCAGTTGCTTTACTGACATGTCGTTGGTGGGACCAAATCTGGCGGAAAATGATGCCAGACGTGTCCTGGCCATGGTCGTGGCAAGCGATCCTGACCGGACACTGGCCAATGATCGCTAACCTGTCCAACTTTGCGGAAAACTGGTATAGACTAGGCAGACAATCGGTCCTCTGGGCCCTTTGGTGGCAGCGCTGCTTGCTAATCTAGAAGGGGTCAGAGCGGAAAGTTCAGAACTCACTGAACGAATCAAGGAACAGATCCAGTTAGAACTGATGAACCGATTGAATACGGTCAATGCCCAACTGGATATTTTTCAGACTGCACAAGATATCAAACGACCTCTCACCAGCTTCTGCAAGGAATGGCTGGGAGGACAGCGTGGGGGGTGGGTTGCTCAGGTGCACTGGGGGATCAAGCTAATCCGTCAACACAGGGGCCCCCTAGGGACTATCGCCTCACCTTTAACGACTGGACCAACATCGAGCCGTCCTTCCCTATGAGATCCCCATCTGAATTACCGGACCCTTTTCCTCCTCATCCCCTTTCCCTAATATGGGCCCCCTATGGTCCTGCACGGGGGCCCCCTATGGTCCTGGAATAACCACAGTGCTGTTCATCAGGTGAAGACGTGCCCCTGGTGGCCCCTGGGGGTAGGAAGGACCCGCTCAAGACCATCAAGCTCAAGTACTCAGAAACAGGAAGAGTGTCTCCAAGAGGCAGGCAGTTATCACAAGGTTGAAAAGAGGGGATGATAGTGGGATTCAAGGTGGGTTGGGGGAGGGAGGACCAGTTTTCAGCAGCAAGTTTATCTGGCGCCTAGCACAGGGTGAAGAGGTTCTTCCCCCCTTTCTTAGCCCCTTTCCCAACAACCTGTACCGTGGCGGGCATCTCTCAGACATCTTCCCTGCTTTTTTCCTCATACATTCCCTGCACAGCTAATCCTCTGGGCACCCCACCAGCA